TGTTTAAAATGGCCGAATTATGCCAACCGACGTATATGTACGAGAATTTAGGCAAAAGTAGCTTGTGTAGGCCCATCTGGATCTTTAAAACCTGAGTCTTCTGTCTTACGGGACTGGTGGGATTGGGGGTCTTATGGGGGGAAAAGGAAGGACGACAAAGGGCCTTTGTAAAAATAAGTACAAAATGTCGTTAAATTTTGTTAATATAGTTTAATGCGGCAGCAATATAGCGACGGCGTTGGGCGCGTGGATCTAAAAAGGCGCGAAAACCAAATCGTCCTCGAATCGAGCTCGAATCGATGTTGAAAAACCACGAAATGTGGTGTTTTATCCCGAAAACTTTCCTTTTGCCCAAAACCCAGTAATAATGGACTTTTTGAAGACTTTTTGTAATATTAACCGTTTATTATTAATAATAAAAAAATCCGATAAAAAATATTACTGGACATATGTATGAAAGAGTTAAATGTAATGTTCAATATTATAATTCTAAATTTCCGGTGACTGGCTGCCGTGAACAACAGGTTGTGTTGTGGCTGGTCTACTCGAAGGCTAAACTGAAGCAATCCGAGTATTCCTTCTAATACCTTAAGCTAAGGTATGTGTTTGTAACTTTGGGGAGTTTTGATGACTCTGGGCGAAGTCACTGAGGTACATATTTGTAATATCATCACGAAACCCTAATAGACAAACGACGAATGCGTATAGGTTGGGGGTTGTTCACTAACCTTGGACGAGGTTACTGATGTACATTTTTTAATATGATCACTTACCCCAACTGGACCAACGGAGGGCGCGTGTAAGTTGGGCGATGTTCAGTGACCCTGGTTGAGGTCATTGAAACTTTTTTTCCTTTTTTTAGGAACCTCAATACTTCATATGATGTATGCCGTTGTCTAGTTTCTTGCGTAAAGGTGTCTTTTTTCTGTTAAACCGCAACTGCATGAAACGCGTTTTCGTGTGATAATCAGCGAAGTATCTTAGGCAAACGCTAACCGCGATTATGTAAAGGTAACGAATGGTTAGTGTAGTAATTGCAAGTGCAACTGTTGCTTCTTTTTAGCGAGATAAGCCGCGGCAATGTAATGGCAAGGCTGAGTAGACGAAGAAAGTGAAGAGTAGGCAGCGATATAGTAGCAGGGTTGTCAATGCACGTTGAAGAAGCGGGACGCGATGCGCAGCTACTAGTCTGCCGACTTAAATGAATAGGCATAAATACGCCTACTGAAACTAATATAGTAGTTATGGTAGTGTATCTTTTCAAACTGGGCCTACCCACGCTATGGTTGCCAGAATTTACATTCGAATTGAAGGAGGAATGCAGCCGCTATTGCAGTCCAACACGCGCTTTTTGATACCTGGTCGTGTGTGACGTGCCGTTAACTGTGTCCGTGGCGGCACATTTGCGGTCGTCCCAGTTGCTCATGCTGTCTAGCAGCCGATTCTGGTCAAATTTACTAGAGCAATTCACACATAACTCACCGTCTTTCTCCTACCACACTCTGCGGCACACTACTGACAGCATCCGTGGCCGTAGTCTATTTTTCGTTGTGAAATCGGGCCAGTTCCCTTGGGTGAGCTTTTGTCTGCCAAGGCTCTTGCATGCTTGTGCTATCGAACCTACAACAATCTGTCGCCTTCCATCTGATGTTTGTCCGGGCAATATCTGGTTGATACTGAATTGCATTAATCTCCACTGCACGGCCTGTAGCCTTCTTCGATACATTTCCGGCCGTCCATTATTGCCCTCTGAGCGGTCTGCCTCGCGTCCTGATTGGTCGCTTTTGTTATTTGCAGACCCAGTTCCCCCGACTCCCCTCGTCTGTGATAGCCCAAACCCATTCCCCCTCCTTCTTGGCGTTTTTCACGGCGGCCTCTACCTCTTCAGTGGTCGTCTGCGCATCGAGTGCTTTCCCTGGGCCGGCATCCTCAAAATGGCCTACCGACGACGGTCATTTCGTCTGTTTCTGCGAGTTGCGGACAGTCAGGTGCGTATTTACCGATTGTATTAACATTAGAAGTCAGTTTATGGCAAACAGTTGTTTTCAGCAACTCTTCATCAGACCAAACATTTTCAAGGGAAATTAACGCCGTACATCACAATTAAAGTTTGAATAGGTAGAACAATCAATAACTATCTAACACGGGTGCTGATTGGCCAACGCGGACTATGTCAG